ACCAGGAAATGAAGCTCAGAGAAGTGACTTACTCAAGGTTAGTCAACTAGAGAGGAACAAAGCTAACTTACAATTTCAGCCTCTGATTCCTAGTCCAAGATTATCTGGTACTCTATCATATAAGACTCAAATATTTGTCAATTTTCTAAATTCCGATTTAAAGTTAATTTAAATTCCTAAGTCTCTGAGGAACTTTGCTTTTATGTATCAGAGGCTATCTCTGGAGTTGTTCAGAATTAGGATTGAAAGATCTTGTCACATATACCCCATCAAGAAATATTTACCACCTGAGAAACCTGAGCTTAGTTCCATCCTTCCTTGCACTTCATGACTCTCTGACCCTGGGAGCTGAGAGTCTCCAGGATGGTCAGATAACTCAGGTTTCACTAATGTTAATGGGACAGAGACAACCATGGGGCGGTTGGAAGTGGCTCAGCCAGATAACCAAATGGCAGAAGCATCTATTTCTAGCCACTTTATTTTATGCAGTGTCAGATTGCTTTAATGGACTACACACATTCCCTGCAATTAAAAAAAATCTGATAAATCCAACCTAAAGTAGATGGATGTGTCCTTATGAAATGTTGCCCCCCACCACTGCTACTTTTTAACACTATATCCACATTTAATACATTATCCTCAGTTAGATGTAAAAACTTAGTCTTTACTGCACTTCTATTACCTCAACATTTTCTAGAATAGTGTTTCTAATTCTCAGTGCACACATTCACACACATACATAATGACAGAAGTCTCCTGAAATAATAGCTGTCATCACTAAAGGTGATCCACTCTGACATGTCCTATTGCTTTTAGTGATGGTTATCATTCACAACGCACTAATGGGTCCCCACCCACAGCTGTAAAATACTGCTCCAGAGAAGCAATATGCACCCCCATTTCGTCTATCCAGTAATGTAACAAATGCCTAATGTCCAAGATGCTGCCACCATAGGACTCTCTTCTCCAGGAGGTCAGTCAGATCAAGGCTTCATAAGAAACACAATAAAAAAAGACAGTAGGGCAAAGTGCAGGAGAATGCCTCTGTCTGAGCATATACAAGAAGGCTTTGTAGAAGCGAGAACTTGAGCTGTGCCCTGAAACTTGAAGGGGGCTGAGGCTTGGATACGTGGGTATTACTGCTGGAAGGAAGGGAACTAGAGGCACCAACCAAGGGGGGAGATGCCCCAGCAGGGAGCTGTGTCCTTTGAGGTCCTGGAAATTGGGATCTTCTACATGGACAAGAAGTGCTTGTTTTAGAAATGCTATCCAATGGCCTGGAAGTGGCAATGGTTACACGTGTGAGTAAATTCCTTCTGCCCGCCCTCAGGTGGGAGGAGAGGCCTCCGTTCGATGTGGCGTTGAGGAAAGAGGCACCTGCAAGGAAGCCAGGCTTCAGAGCAGGTGTGGAGGGACCAGCAGCTTCCCAGGAGAAGCAGAGGACAGTTGTTGTGGGTCCAGCCCTGTGGCCTCTCCAATCTCACTCACTGGTGGTCACGAGAAGTGATCACATGCACACGTTGCTCACACACTACCCACCACCCCGCAACAAAGCCCTGAACAGAAGCAAAGACACACCAACAATTCTAGAACTTTCTGAGGAAGCTGCATAACAACCTACTGGTTAAAGTTCTCAAATCCACAGAATCCTGCTTTACATTTCAAGCACTCAATGAAGTCTGTCAGCTTCCCACTACCAGGTGTGGTGAGCGAGGACAGGGAACCACCACATTACTCAAACTTTGTGGAAATAAAGAGATGAAAGTTCATTGGATTTTTTTTTTATCAACATTTAATAACGGTGGCTTAAAAGCTAATGGAGGCCCTCAGGGTCCAGGCAGAAACAGTCTCATCCTATGTATTATTTTCAGCTTTTGGTTAGTTATCAATCTCCCCCGCTGTATTTCCAGGAACATGTTTTCAGTGCTTGGCACATCCATTCAGCAAAGGTGGATCCAAGCCATGGCTGAGTTTAGCCTACCATAAAATGAGTTTCCCATTTCCATTTTGTAGGACATACGCTTTGCAAATTTGTTTGTTTACTTGCTTTATTTACAAAGGCTCATCTAGCTGTAGCATACGGGTTTACTTCATTTCTTGGCATTTACTTCTGCCTGCCATTTTGTTTTTGTGTTGTTGCAGGTGTCTGGCAAGGAAGTATGATGCAGTTTGTGATTTTCGTAGAAAACACAGAACCACCATTCGGTATATCATCTGGGGCATCTTATTAGCAGGTAAATAACAAAAGGAGATGGGTTATCAGTGTCTCTCTTTGAGGGTTCCCCAAATATTATGCTGAGCTTTCTGTGGAAAGGAAGTAAATCCTTCCTTCCCCATGGACCTCATGAATCATCCAGAGAAGCAAATCCAGAAGGCCCTGAATTGCAGGCCTCAGCTTGGGGTACCTATCCAGATAGGCTCCCTGTCCGGTTAACTTAGTTAATTTATGTCACCTACTCTGTGGCCTTTGTTATTGTGATGTGGATTTGAAAGTTGGTCAACCCAAATCCAAGTAACTGGAAAATAAGGTAATCACAGGTAGGACTCTACTTGCAGGAGGAAAAGTAAGCAATGGATGCTTTATGTGGATACAATGCTGGGAGCTGCCTAGGGCCACATAGCCCATTCCTCTTGCCAGAAGGCAGAGCTGTAACTGTCTACAGTTCACCCTTCTTTTTTTTAAAAAAAAAAAAAATGTTTTGTTTTGTGTTCATTTTTCTTTTATTTTTGTGTGCATTTTTTCTACCTTTTACAGTTGACCCTTGAACAATGCAGGGGTTCAGGGCACGAACACTCCTCATCCTCCACCACACAGTCAAAAAATCCACATCTAACTTCTGACTCCTCAGAAACTATACTAATAGCCTACTGACGAACCCAGGCCTTACCAATAACATAAACAGTCGATTAACATATTTGTGTGTTATATGTATTACATACTGTAAGCTAGAGAAAAAAAAATGTTATTAAGATCCTTAAAGAAAAGAAACTACATTTACATTTTATTTTTAAAAATCCGTAGATAAGTGGACCCACACAGTTCAAACCTGTGTTGTTCAAGGGTCAATGTACACAGAAGAGCAGGTTTTTTGTTTTCACTCCCTCCAGAGCAGAGGGCTCCACCCATTTAAAGAATACCTCTATCTATAAAACATGAAATCTACTGCCCAAGTCTATAGATATTAATCCAAGAATGCTGCACCCTCAAGGGCAGTGGTTTTGCTGGTGCTCACACAGCCTGAACAGGGAAGAGCAGGGTTGTAAGTTTCCTCTGAACTGGGCCAGGTAGTATTTTACAGGCCATACATCAAAACCACACATCTCTGCCTTCATAGTACAAAAGGAAACAGACATGCCTGGCTGTGTTCCCAGGTGACTTTATTTATAGAATACAAATACAAATATACAAATACAACTGTACTTGCTACCTACAAAAACAAGTGGCAGGCCAAATTTACCTTGCAAACGAAACTGTTTGCTGACCGTTAATGGGAAACCTTGTTGTTCTTATTCTAGAATCTCCTTTCCAAAAAAATAACCCAGCCACCTTGATTACCACCTCCACCACTTTCCTTTAGAGATTCTGTGGCACTTAGCAATTTTCCTACTCAAGCTTAGGCAAAATCTGAGCTGCAAACTAGGTGAATCAATGTCTTTTTGCCAGTGGTTGCTCCAACACCTGGATTTTCTCTGGCAGAAGTTCACCTTCTGAGTCTGGATGGATACCAGAAAAAGGTGGTTAGTACTAAGTGGGAGACCCGATGACCAAGCATCAAGATTTAAGAACTCAGAAGGTTACATAAGGAAAAAAGATCTAGGACCCTGGTCTCGTGGCATTCATGGTGAGATTGTTAGGGACTTATCATCAGAGGAGACAATAGCCATATCAAGAATATGAGGAGCACTCTTGTGTTCAGTGGTTTGTTCACTGAACCTGCCCTTGGCTGAGCCAGATCAGCGCTGGAGGCTGGTCTCCAGCCAGTGTTGGTGATGTTCACTGTCTGCCTTTGCTTCCTGGACAGGCTACCTGGCCATGGTGATTGCAGCCTGTGTGCTGAATTTTCACAGAGCCCTTCCTCTTTTCGTTATCACCGTGGTTGCCATCTTCTTTGTGATCTGGGATCACTTTATGGCCAAATATGAACATCAAATTGATGAGTTCCTATCTCCTGGCAGAAGACTTCTGGACAGCCATTGGTTCTGGCTGAAGTGGTAAATGCAGTTGGTTCTCTTATTACAGTTGAGAGGGTTGTTAGTTTTTCCAACACTGTTTCAAAAGTTTGTTCTGAAATTGCTTCCTCATTTATGGGATATTGCAGCTAGAAGTAACCTAGGGGGTATCTGTTAAAATGCCTTCATTTTACAAATAGTAAATCAAAGCTTAGATAAGACAATGACTCATTTGAGATGTGTTCAAATGTCCCTATAAACTGCCTTAATTTCAAGTGCTACTAAATGAAAAAATGGTGTCCAGTATATGGGTTGATTCTACTTGGGAAGGTGGCTTCCTGCTCTGGCCTCCTTGGGAGGAAAATCCTGTAAATTCCTACAGTCAACTTTTTCCTATAGGACCCTGTGTCCTGCAGGTGACCACTCGGGGCTCTTCCCTCAGTCTCTGTCTGTGGGACCTCCTCTCCCTCCAAGTGACCCTACTGGGTAGGATCCAGAACCAGTTTTCTGCGGCATGGCCCATGTAGGATCTACTAGGAAATGTCACATATCCTTGGCCTAATAAACCAGGATTGTGCAATACCAACACAGCACCCTTTCTGGCTCTGCCACCCAAGTCATGAGTCAGACTTGTCATACCTGCCAGATTCCCCAGAGAGTCATAACCCAGTCTAAACCCAGCTCTCTAAGGCTTGGGTAAGTTCCCTCCACTGCAGAGAACACATTTCAAGTTCTCCCTTCAAAGGTATCGCCTCAGCCATCTCCCAAAACAGAGGTGAGGACTCCCAGGAGATCTCTCAAAGAAATCACCAGACTTCCCTCTCCAAACATGCTTTCTCCTCTCTGACCCCTTTATAGATCCTTGAACCGGCAAAGAGCCATAAGACTTGTGGAGTGAGGGAGACAGGTTGCTTAATATTTTGGCTATTTGCCTTTATAGCCACAACCAGAAAGGATCTGGTGCAATGTCTAGAAGCACTACTTCTGGTGCCAGGGTGTGTTGCTCTTGTTTTTGTTTGGTGGTTTTAGCCTGATTGAGATTTTCAAGTTAGCACAGAACATGATGCCAATGCCTCTGTGCTGGTTCTCTTAGGGTGATTTGGAGCTCGCTGATCCTGGGGGTTATTTTCTGGCTGATCTTTGACACTGCCAAGCTGGGCCAGCAGCAGCTGGTGTCCTTCGGGGGGCTCATCGTATACATTATCCTGCTATTTCTATTTTCCAAATACCCAACCAAAGTAAGTACAAAAGTGATCGATCTTTTTTGTTTCTTTTCCCTTTTTTTCCCCTCATGAGTAAATTGCTCAGATTAACGAGTGTGAGCGAATTGAACTGTTATTCAATACTTATCTCACCTTACTCTTATATTTTAAGTGGCTAGGGCACCCTTCTCCCCGAACTTTCATTGTACAGTTGCTCTCTCATTTTTCACTTCCAGAGATTTTTCAGTTACACAACCAGTGAGATGTTCTCTCCTGTCAAGTCCAATCGCTACTCATGTACCCCACCGTCCCCTGTGAAACACACATACAAAGAAAACTCATCCATTTTTATCCAGATTTCCCCAGACCAGCAAATAATCTAATAGTCTACCATTGAATTCTGCATTTTATCAAATTTCCATTTGAAATTTAGGCTGTTTTACCCCAAAACTTTGTCCTTGAACTGTTTTGTTCTTATGGAATTCAATTCTCCTTCTTGCCTGTAACGCATTAAATGGGCGAGAATTCTGAGACATTGAAGCTTTTGCATATGATTCATATGGGCCAACTCTGGAATATTTTACTGGCTGAAAGATTGACCAAAGAAATAAAAAAAGTCACCTAATATGATTCCACTTCTTTGCCATGTTCTGGTGAACGTCTCCACTGTGTTCTATGCCTCCAATCCCATAGTTCTTTGCAAGCCACTCATCTCTGCACCAAAAATGAAAGCAGATGATTGTCCATTACCGCTGTACTCTCTGGGTCTGCATTAGAGTTAATTGGTGCCTTTTACAGTGAAATGAGAGCCCCTCAACAGGGTGGAATTTCACTTAATTCACTTACAAATTGGCAGATCAACAAACCTTGGGCACATAGAGAAGTCATGTTCTGCCTTTCCATTTTCCAGGCAGGGGAAGTAATGGCACATATCTAATATGAACAGCATGGTAGGAAGGCCAGGTCCTTCCTCCTTTAATGACCCTTCTAAGCCTACTCTTGTGTCTAAGTTAATTTAGCATGACATAATAGTTACATACTCTCCCAGGACGGAAGCCTTCAAACTGAGGATTAGGAAGAGAGAATGCAATCCTGAGATGTTTAGGTCTGATTCTATCAAGGGATTCTCTGCTCAGGACCACTTTGGCCTCCCACAGAAAGCCAGTCATAGGCTGCTCTCATGAGGGAAGCTTCCAAGGAAATAGTGATCCTATGGGCATTGATGCTGAGTTCAGTATTCATTTTCTAATGAGTAATATCTCTTCATCTTTCTGCATAGGTTTACTGGAGGCCTGTCTTTTGGGGAATTGGGTTACAGTTTCTTCTTGGGCTCTTAATACTAAGGACTAAGCCTGGATATATAGCCTTTGATTGGTTGGGCAAACAAGTTCAGGTAAGTTGGGTTCAAATGAACACCTTGCTTTTAGAATGCTTTTTAACATTTGTATATAATTTTCAAGACATGTCAGAAATAGGTTTATTGCCGAAACCGGTTTGGCTCAGTGGATAGAGCGTCGGCCTGCGGACTGAAAGGTCCCAGGTTCGATTCCGGTCAAGGGCATGTACCTGGGTTGCGGGCACCTCCCCAGTGGGAGATGTGCAGGAGGCAGCTGATCGATGTTTCTCTCTCATCGATGTTTCTAACTCTCTATCTCTCTCCCTTCCTTTCTGTAAAAAAATCAATAAAATATATTTTTTTAAAAAAAAAGAAATAGGTTTATTTGTCTGCATTAGTTGACCCAAATTTTAATTCTGTAGCATGAGTTAGACAAATAATTTGGCTTATGTAGAATATTAACATCTGTCTAGTTTATTAATAGTATGGGTGTCCCTTATCCATATCATCTACTACCTCACACCCTATCCTGATTGCCCCCTTTATTCTGCCCAAAGGGTTTCACATTTTTAAAATAGTTCCACAGATAGAGAAGAAACAGGCTTTCTTTGCATCTAGTGGTAACTAGTGCCACCTATGTGCCATTTGTGACTTGCTGGAACAATTTACCACACCTGACTCATTCTTGAGCATTCTGGAGTCAGATTGAATGTCAGAAATGACGGGCAATCTGTATGCATGTAGAGTTCAAAAATACACTTCCATCCCTAGCTGGTTTGGCTCAGTGGATAGAGCACTGGCCTGTGGACCAAAGGGTCCTGGGTTCAATTCTGGTCAAGGGCACGTACCTTGGTTGCAGGCTCCTCCTCGGCCCAGGCCCTGGTCGGGGCTTGTGCAGGAGGCAACCAATCGATGTGTTTCTCTCTGTCTTTCCCTCTCTCTTCCAACTTCCCTAAAAATCAATGGAAAAATATCCTCAGGTGAG